CAGATGATTAATCGCCCCTGCTCTCAAAACAATGCAAATTCGGTCCACTGGTTTATCTTTGTGAGCTGGTATTAAGTCCTAGAAATATTTTTATATTAAGAATTAAAAGAATAAGAATTTAAAAAAATTATTATATCCATCAACTTAATCTATTGTCATCATATTTAGTAACCTTGATCAGCTTTCCATCAAAATGTAATTGAGCAATTTTATTATGTTTAATCTCATTTTGAATAAGTATCTTGAGTCTCCATCCTTGTTAATTATGTTGTTTTTTGTTCGGAATGTTGTGGTGTACAAAAGTTGCAGCATACCGGGATCACCTCCTGCTTGTGTGATCAGCTTAATCAATGTTGCAGTTAATTTATTGGTTGATATATCCATTCCTATAGCTGTTCTCACGGTTTCCTTAATATCCTCTTTAGTAAGAGTAATGGTCTGTCTATAATATCTGTTTTTTAAATTAGGAGCATATGTACTTTCTCCATCAGATTCTGAACTTGATTCCGAAAACGAAAATCCAAGTAAAATTTTAGCAACTCTTGATGTACTAGGCACAACTAATATGCTGGCAGTTTGTGATTAAGTTCTCTTACAACGTTTTTTTCTCCTCCTTTCAATTTTTAGTCTTCGATTATCAATGTGTCCCAGAGTAATTTTTCTTTCTCCTAGCTTTAAGAAAAAGTAAATCCTCCGATTTGTCAGATAGAATCCGGTTCTTGTCTATTTTGATAGCTTTAATTAGACTTTTTTTGAATCACTTAACCAGAAGAACCCTAGAAATATATATTTCTTTGAAATCTCAGAGCTATAAATTATTACACTAATAAAAGTTTATTTAAATTTTATTTAACCTCTTACAGTCCTAACAAACTCAGCACAAGATAGAGTATATTCTTTTTGAATTTTATGCTGACTCTTCTTAAGGTTCAAATATCTATTAATATATTTAATTAGATTTCTTTGCAAAATAACTGGTTCAGTCGTTTGGAAACCGGATCTTAGCCATGGAAACCATAATCCCCCAAGAGTACATTTCTTGCTACATACAGTAACTGCAGTGGTACACTGTACAGTGTACAGTGTACATTGGTTGTCATAGTGTACAGTGTACACTATGACAAATAAATTATTTGTAATTACTAAAGAATTTGTTAGTATTTGTTTTAAAAAAAGAAAAACTTAAACTATTAAAAGCATAGTTTATTAATTACGAATGGCTAGTAAAATTTTATAAAATAATTTAAAGTCTTGTCAAAGGTAAAATGTATAAAGTCACCTATAACTGTTACTTAAAGGGCAAGCAGCAAGTTGCTTTTTTTCTGAATTGGAACCAATCTATTCCTTCAAGTAGAGGAAATGCTTAATAACATCAGCCTGGGTCGGAAATTTAACTGAGGGCATCTTCGCTAGTTTACTGAGTAAGAAGTATTCCTTTCCACAACTACTTTCTCTTCTCTTCATATTTTGTTATTTAACTTTAGCATTTTCTAAAAGGATTCCCTCTGTATTCGGGGATCATATTTTTAGTTATAAAATTATACTAAACTAAGGAATTAAATATTTGAATTAATTATAAATAATAAATAAATAATTGATTATTTGAATTAACTCATGAAAGTTTTGATAAAAAAAGATAAACAGTTCATGACATACCAGCTAGATTTATGAAAGTTAAGAAAAAAACAATTAAAAAAAAGATTAAAAGCAATTGAATAAAACATGCATAAAAAAATTAAGTACAAATGTACTTATAGGTGCTGATTGGAAAGAATATTATTCACACTTTTTAAACAACACAGTATTTAGATTGTTTTCATAATATTTGCATATCTTGTAATTGTACATAAAAATAGCTTGTGAGCAAAAGTATTATTTATATAGCATCATAAAATGGTTAATTGCATTTAAATTAAAGTTAGGGCTCTGACCCCTCAACAGGTTTTTAGAGACAAGATATGCAAATATATATTTTTAAATTTAAAATGCATATTGTTAAGGACCTTGCATAATATATTTTTTAGGACTCAACAATTCGCGCCAAAATCTGTACTTTTTAGCGGTTGATTGATTTTCCTAAATTTTTTTGCTTTAATTTGAAAAATCATTTTGCGCAAGGTGATTCAATAGAGATAAAAACTCAATTTTTTCCACACGCCATGTAGACATGGTTAACTATAAAATATGTTGTATACATGTCTGTAGCACAATCAGGTCTTCAGTTATTTAATAACTAGTAAGAACTTCAAAATTTGAAAAAAATGGCATTAGTTGGCGCAAGGTGTTAAAATAATTTTTTTGAAAAATAAATAATATATTTTGAAATATCTTGTAACTGCCCATCTTTTAAGCCTGCATACATGAAAAAAAAAAATTGATGAAAAATGAACAGCCCTATTATATATATATACATAGATACACATGAATACATACACAACCATACACTCACAGATCTATGTATCATATATATATATATATATATATATATATATATATATATATATATATATATATATATATATATATATATATATATATATATATATATATATATATATATATATATATATATATATATATATATATATATATATATTTATACATCCACTAGCATTTATATTAACTTAATGTAAACAAATATATAAAAAAAAATATACAAAACATATATATCTAAATATATACATACGCATGTATAAACTTCATAATATAAGTATATATATAAAACAAAAGGGAAAAGTAGAAAGATAATAAGATGTATTTAATTAATCTAACAAATATAAATAATAATAACATAGTATAAGAATATACACTTTAAGATTTAAAGCCCATACACACCCTAAAAATTTAGGGTCTTAATACAAAAAAATGTCACATTAAAATCCTTTTAACCACATAAATGGATGCTAAAGTATGCAATTTTAAAATCTAGAATTAAAATCCAAAAGAGATATTCACTTTTTAAATTTTTTTTTGCTACATGGCAGCTCTTTTTTGTAGAGTAAACAACATCTTTAAAAGATGCCCAACAGTTACAGAAAAAGAAATCTACTGTTTGTAAAGCATTCTCTGATTCAGCAATATTTTTCAATTCACCCACTTTCTTCAACAGCTCCATGCAATCATTGCCATTGTAATGACCTCCATGGTAGGGTAACAGTGTAATGTGGATTGAGTTGAGCCATTTACTGCCATTGGCCATCTTGGCCATTGAGTCAGATTTTTGACAATGTGATTTACCACACCAATAAGCAAATGTAACTGCATTGGTGGAATCACTTCCAAAATGCTCTTATGATCATCAAATGGAAGCAGTGGGAGATAGACAGCATTTTTGAAAGATTTGGCATTCTTTGTGTCCCCTCCAGACTTCATGAAGTTTGAAAGGGTTGTTTCTGATTTTTTCAAGAGTTCTAAGCTCACCACACTCATGAAGATTTGTTGCCTCAATTTCACACCAGCAGCATGGATGTTTGCTGCTGTGTGACTGGATCCCACACATAATATTTGCGAGTTTTAAGTCAAAAGAAAAAAATATCTTACTTAAGAAGCAAGCTTTTTTTATATATCTTTGGTGTTTTTTCTGCCACTGCTACTATTAGCTGCTTGTTAACACCTGTGCTTTTGAGGCCTTCTTGTGAACACAGCTTTACAGACTTTTAAATGAGGCTTTCAGGCTCATATTCATCAAGTTTCATGTCAAGAAGGCTCAGACTCACTTTTAAAAATGAGCCACCATCTATTCTAAGTTTGAGAATTGTGTCCTGATCAAGACACATGGAGTTACCAACAACCTGCTTCAGTAGATCAAGGTCATGACAATGAGCAACATAACGTTTTTCATTGTTTGTCAATTGAAGTGTGCTCAATGTAAAATTCACTTGCAATAGTTTGCCAGACTCTGCTAGTTTTTGTTGAAAGTTTGATTCCACAAGCCTTACAGGGCTTATTTGATTGAGAGCTGATCCAAGTTTCCTTATTCCTGATTTTGAAAGCCCTGTATTTTGTTGAATTGAGACCATATCTTGCGTGCTTAGAGGATTGGGAAAAAGTTGTTGGCGTGCTGCTGTTGACCCTGTGAAGTAAAATAATGTCAATCAAAAATTAATTTCAATTTGAATTTAAAATTTTGACAAAATTATTTGAAATTTTGAGTACTTTTTCTCACTGCCAATGGTCCTCCTTGAGATTTTACGAATTCCTACTGTGCCACCTGGTGAAGCATCTTTTGATGAAATTACTGGTGATGCTATCTGCTCTGCCCCATTGGGGCCTGCCAGTGCTAATGTTCTTAAGTTCAAATTTCGAGTCCTTTGAGTACTATGATGAGGTAGTCCACGTGCAGCCATGGATAAGCAAATTGTACATCCCTTTTCTGCTGACGGATTCATGTGATTTTGAGCTTTGGTTTGATTTTGTTTCATCAATGGATGCATTTCTTTACCTTTGGTTTTTGCAATTCAAGAAATCAAGCAATCACAACCACTTGTCTGTCTTGTCAAAGTTTTAACTTGAATCAAATCAAAGTTGTAAAGAGCAGGAAGATTGGGAGGTGAATTTTTGTCACAGGCTTTGTTAATCTTGAAACAACAAGTTAAGCAAATTCTGTTTGGAACTTTGTTATTGTTAAAATTAAAGGAACTGAAAAATTTTTTGTGATCTTCTGTTTGAAGGAATCTGTAAATTCATTTGTTTTTTTCATGCAAAAGAAGCAGACAGACTTCCTGCGCTCATTGTGGTCTTTGGCAAATGTAGGCATTTTGAGAGTTTTACTTCTGCCCGGCTTTTTGTTTGTAAATGCGCACGCTCTTTAGGGATTTTGGGAATTAAGGAATTAGGGATGTGGCAAGCCAACAATTTGGCATCAATAACAATATCAGCATGATTAAATTATATATCTTTTCAATAATAAATGAAATTTCATGCTTCTTTGTAAAAGAGCATTTTGTAAAAATTAAAAAAAATTTAAATTCCTTTTATTCCCAGTAAGATTATAAGATTGAAACTTCAAACCCCTTTAGATTTTATTCCACGATTTTAATTTTTATCAATATTTGCTTTTATTTACATCTAGAATTATTGGTTAAAAAGGCTTTAATGAGATGTTTTGTTGGTATTAAGACCCCAAATTTTCAGGGTGTGCATATAATACTAAAATATTCAATATATAATAAAAAAAGAAATTAAAAAGATAGATAAGTATACCATATTCTGTTAATAGAATTAAAAAAAAAAAAGACAACTAGCTGACAGACGTGAAAATGAAAACAAAATTGCTGTCAAGAAAAACAAAAAGATTAATTAAAGACATAGCAAAGTAAGTGACTTTTTGACTAAACAACTTTTATTTGCAAACTTATTGTGTATTTAAATTTTTTATCTGCTTTTCCTTTAGATTTGACAATATAATAGACAGCACCAAGACCTTGCTGATGATCCTACTTGATATAAGTTTCATCATCTTCAATAATGCATAAACTTTTAGAAATATAAAAATTGTCAGAAATAAATTTAAGAAATAAATTTCTGCAGCGAGTTATTACACTCAGTTTTAAAATGGGCGGTTAATTTTTGTGATTTGAAAGAATCAACTTTCTGCAATGGGTTCTTACACTTTTTTTTTGAGTGGCAAAATGGGAATGTACTTTTTGTGATTTGAAAGAATAAATTTTAGAATTTTTGCTATTGAATTTCTATTTGATTTTTGAAAATATTTGTGCATAATTATTTTTCTAACCTCTCCTTTAGTCATTTTAAAAATTTATTTTAAGTTTAATGGGAAAACTTGAACATTTTTTTGAAATTGCAGCATGTTGTAAGCAAAAATAAAAAATATATTAATACAACCACTGAAAAAAATGACGTATTTTTTCTTTCACATTTATTTTGTGTACACGTTTTAACATGATAGTGTTGATATTTGGTATGATGTATATACTTTTTGTTATATTTGTTGCAGGCAATCTGCGGTACTTAAACTAGACTGAGCAATGAAAGCCCACACAGAAATATGAAATATTTCTATTGAAAAAACTTTTTATATAAAGGAGGATAAGTAATAAAAACAAAAATTAGCCAGCAGATGTTCAACAGATGTTGCTATTGAATTGTAGAATCTATTGGTTTTTTACTAGTATTTGTTTATAATGTCTTTTGTCATTTTCAAAACTTATTTCAAGTTAAATGGAAAAACTTAAACATTTTTTTAAATATGCAACATGCCATAAACAAAATACAATTTTTTTTTTCCAATATCTTCCAACAAGGCTGCAAGCAACCACTATTAGAGTTGGAAGTTACTGGAAGAGAAAGTTAAAGTTTTCTACAAATACTATAATGGGCACTGCTCTAAAGAGCTAGTTCTATAAAGCAGTGCCCATTACAGTATTTGTAGAAAAGAGAAAGAGAAGCAACATTTTGACTAGGTGATAATTGTTGGAGGTTGGCTGCAAGAGCAGGTCCAACTATGTTTACAATGTGTTTTTGCACCTTGTCTAAAAGAGAAAGGGCGTCATTAGAAGATCCACCCCAGATATGGCAACAGTATTCCATGCAAGGATGGATTTGAGATTTATAGAGATAAAGTATAAAATCCGGAGTAAGAAAGTGTGGAGCACAATAAATAGATGCGACCTTAGCAGATACTAATTTTGCAATGGATTTGATATACGCTTTCCAAGAAAAATCGGAAGTAAGAGTTAATCCTAGAAGATGAAAGGTAGATGAGTCATTGAGTACATTACCGTTCATAAATATAGGAAGATCTAAATTATTGCGATAACGATTGACTGAAAAATATTTGGCATTATCTGAATGTTGCAGCAGAAGTGAGATCCTTTTCAAGCTGCTTTCTAATTGCTTCTCCAAGCAATTAGAGTGTTAGCATCTTATCATGACTAGAGTAAATTAATTAAGTAAATCATCAGCAAACAATGCCACCTTAGATCTAATAGTATCTGGGAGATCGTTAATGTAAATTAAAAAGTACAGGGCCAAAGACAGAACCTAGAGGAGCCCCTGAAGTTACAGGATATAAAGAAGAAGTGTTGTTCATTGAGGGCAACTTTTATACTACAATTGGAAAGGAAGGATTCAATAATCTTAAAGATGTTACCAGATACACTGTAGGAAAAAAGCTTATGGAGAAGATCAGCATGTAAAGCTTTGGAAATGTTAAGAGTGATAGCCTTAACATCTCCACCTCTATCTAATGCACGATAAAATCTATTGATTATTACTGTTATCAAATCAGCTGTAGAATGAGAAGATCGAAATCCATTTTGATGATCATAAAGTAAGTTATTAGATTTAAGATTAAGTGTTTGTTAATTAAAGATTCAAAAACCTTGCTTATGATAGAAAGAAGACTAATGGGGCGGTAGTTAGACAAGTCAGATGGCTCTCCAGAATTTTTGAAAATGGTAATAACAGATGCCGCTTTCCAGCAGGCTGGAAAACAAGACTCTGATAAGCACTTGTTAAATACTTTTTGAAAGTATAGATGACAGTTCTGGATAACACTTCTGCAAGAATATAACAGGTTGGTTGTCCGAGCCACAAGCTGTAGAAGAGTCTAAGCTCAAAATCACTTTGATTCAGAAGCTGAAATAAAATTAAAAATACAACCACCATAAAAAATGGTGTATTTGTTCTTTCACATTTATTTTGTGTACATACAACATAATGTTGAAAAAAAGTTTAAGCTGGTTATTATTTTTTGTTGTAAGTATAAAAAAACTTTACATTAGTAAAAGCTAAACTTTGCATAATTAATTTCTAAAGTTTATTTTTTTCTGTTGCTTAATTTATTTTATCTACAATTTTTTTAAAGGGATCTCAAAGTGCCAAAGCAATTTGTTTTTATTTTTTAAATAAACCTTAGAAAGTTGAGAGTTATTTAAACTTACAAAAACAAATGTTTATGGAGATATTAACAAAAACTTATTCATTTTTTTACTTTTTAAAAGAAAGTTCTGGTCTAATGATTTTTACTTTCAAAAGAAATCTGGTGTTATTAAAGTGTTTATTCTTTGATGTCAATATTATTAAGTGTTGTTATTAAAGTTAAAATATATTTTAATGCTTAAGTATTTATTTTTTATATTAAATTTTTTTAAAAATTTAATTTAATGATAACTTGCTAACTTTCTATTATTAATATATATTTTTTTATTATATTAATAAATTTTATTTTATTATATATTGGCTAGTTCATACTATTAAAAGAGAAATTAGTTTTTAAAATTTTATTAAGCCTTATTTGAAATATAAAAATGTAAATGTTTATGCATTCATTTAGGAAACTACTGTGGAACATAAAACCCAAACTGATGTTCTGATCTCAACAAAAGTAAGTTGTAACGATTACATTTTTAATATTTTATGAAGTAATATTAAATTTATATATTTATGGTTCTAAATAATTATAACAATAGTTTGTAAATATTATAAATTACTTATTAGCATAAATAAAATCATAATATTAATCTTGAATTTTTTTTTAAAAAACTTTTTAAAATATGATAATTAATAATATTATAATTATAATGTTGTATTAATATTAATAATATTATAATTAAAAATATTATAATTAATCATTAAAAAAAGTTGTGTTTTTTTTAGCAATAAAATTCTCTCAAGCCATATTTAAAATTTAACCACTACATAATTATGTAAATTAGTAAAAGCCTGTTATAAATTGTGTTTAGTCTCTTTACCCAGAAATTTTGTAAAACATGCTGGACATTTGTAAAACAGGCTGGACATTTGGACATTACTTTTTTTTTGTTTTTAAATTTTTTAATGTAAAAATTTAATGTTTTTAGAGTTTTAAGATGCAACAGATAATTGAACATTGTAAAATAAATGCAGGTTTAAACAAAAAAAATTAATTGCAGTCCAATATATTTGCTGCATTTCATCAGAAGTGATAAAGTTCTTAAATTCTGAAATTAGAAATATGGTAAAAACTACTATTTTATATTTAATTATTCCAAAATTTGTTTGATTAGATGAGAATAATGTAATATATGTATTGATTAGAACAATGTAATTGAATCTGGAATGAATGAAAATGCATGTTTTTTTCAAAAAAAAGTCTAATGCTAATTTAAAGAGCTCAAAATACTCTGAAGGCAGTAGTTAAAAGTGTAGTTTTGTCTAAATCAATTTCTTATCAAATAGCATGAGGTAACATTTAAAACTTATTTTTTCTAATCTTTATCTTTCAGCCTTATAAAAAAAAGCAATAATGATGTATTAGTTTCATTTGGTCACAATTGATATATCTATCATTACCAACTCGGTCATTCAACATGCATCATTTCTGGCTGATAAATAAAAATATAGAGACCTAAGCGCGTACATGAAATAAATGTAAAATTTGAAAAGCTACTAAAAAAGAGTTACTCATCAATTTTAATTTAAAACCAATTAATAATTTTGATACATTAATAGAAGAAGATAAACTATTTCAAAGAAAATAAATAATTTCTGTAGGCATCTAATAAAATTTCCAACTTTTGCTTTGATGGTATCCATAAGATTGTGCACTGAACAACAATTATAAACTATTTTTTGCTTTTTGACATATATGACATAATTAATCTAGCTTCTATTCGGATTTTGAAAATATTTCTTCTTTTGTCATTTTAAATACATATTTTAAGTTAAATTGGAAAATTAAAACATTTTTTTTGAAACAGCAGCATGTTGTAAACAAAATACAAATAAAAATAAAAATATATTAATACAACCTCTAAAAAAAATTCAGTGTTTATTTATTATAATAATAATTAAAAATTTTATTATTTCAGATTTCGTGTACATTTATTAGGCCTTATTTAAAATAAAAAATATAAATGTTTATGCATTATTCATTTAGGAAACTTCTATGGAACATACAACACAACCTAATGTTCTGATTTCAACAGAAGTAAGTTATAATGATTACATATTAAATATTTTATTAAATAATAATATATTTATATATTTATGATATCTAAATTTATATCTAAATAATTATAACAATAGTTTGTAAACATTATAAATTATTTATTAACATAAATAAAATCATAATAACTTAAATCGTTTTTTAAAAAACTTCTATTAAAAGAAATTTAGTGATTTTTTTAAAAATAAAATTCTCTCAGGCCATACTTGAATTTTAACCATAATATAGTTATGTAAATTAGCAAAGGCCAGTTATAAATTGTGTCTCTTTAACCTTTGTAATGTTCAATCAGTGAATCAGTGAATCCCTTTAAAATGTGTTAGACGATTGTGACAATAATAATTTTTGTTTTTAAAGTTTTCAGTATAAAAGTTTAATGGTTTTAAAGTTTTAAGATGCAATAGGTATTCAAACATTGCAAAATAAATACAGGTTTAAAAAAAAAAAAAGTAAAGAAAAGTCCTACATGCGCTGCATTTCATCGGAATTGATGGAGTTTTTAAATACTGAAATCTGAATTTTGCTGTAAACTCCTATTTTATTTTTATAATTTCCCAACCTTTTTATAGATGAGACAATATAATTGATTCTGAAATATGTATATATGGTAAACAAAACCATAATTAACAAGTCGTATTTTAAAGTTACAAAGTAATTAAATTAAAAAAAAAAAATGCAATGACAATGATATATCAGTTTCATTTGGTAAAATTTGGTATATCTATATATGTGCATTGTCAAGGCCTCATTTAGAGGCCTTTGTTAGGCTTCATGTTTATTAATAGTAATGAGGCAACTGCTTGGACTATTAAAAAGTATACTGAGTACCATCTGTGCTTCGAGTCAAGTTCTATAACTAATTTAAAAATGACTTAAGTGCATAAAACTATGATCAAATTGCCCTCTCTCCTTATCCTTCAGCTAATATGATTGTTGTTGGTTACTTTAATGCTCATCACCCTGAATGGCTTGACTCTAACGTCAGATGTCACATTCACCCTTAGGTGCTTCTGATCATGGTTAGATCTATCTAAAACTATTATCTCATTCTTCTTCATCATCAGAATTCCCCTATCTCTCAGAGTAAATGTTAGTTGCATTAGCTAAATGTTTCTTTTTTTAAAATTTTCAATCTTTTTCATATATATATTTTTTTTATATATATATTTCAATCATATCTTTTTTTAAAAAATTTAAGAAAAAATCAATTGGTAAAGATTGACCAGTGTTGAATTTAAATTTATTGCAGCTTTTTGTGCGGAAAGAAATGAATTCTTTAAGTTTGTTATTGTTTCTTTGAAACCAGTTTGTAAATTGCTGAAAAAGCAACAATTTTTTACATTTCTAAAATCTCTCAAACACTGAATAATTGGTATCAAACAAGTAAATGTTTCTAAAACTTGTTTTTAAAGAGAATCTAGATTTTCTAATATTTTGTTTGATTTATTTCCATCCCAGCCTCTGCCTTGGTAACCTCGCTGAATAACATTTTTTGACTTTTACCAATCATTATATATTCTGGCCAGACATCTAACAAAAATTTTCCAAGCAGTGAAACAAAACCAATTAACAAATGAAGTTCAGGTGGAGGAACGAGTTGATCAATTAAAGTATTCGGATCCAAATTAATATACAAAATTTGAGGATTGATACAGTTCATAAACTCTTAGATGGATGATTTTACTGAGTTATTTTCTAAATATTTATTTAGGGTGTCTACCAGATCAGGGAAATCAGGTAAATCAGTGAAAAGTCAGGAAATTTATGTCTTCAAAAAAATAAGGGGGAAATCAGGGAAATTAGATCAAATTTTAGAAAAATCAAGAAAAAAATCAGGGTTTTTATTACTTATGTTATTTAAGAAGCTCTTTAATTATGAGTTGTTTTTTTTAACACTCAGTTTAACTCTAAGAAAAGCAATTATTTTTTTTGAGCTTGATTAGTAGCTAGCTTTTAGTAACTAACTAGTAGCTAACTATTTGATGTTATTATTAAGTTGTTTTTATTTTCTTTAGATTAAAACAAGTTAAAATAAATTAAATAATGAACTCAACATATTTTGATGATCAGTGGTTGTAAATAGCAGAATATAAAGCTTGGTTAATGTGTGGGAATACAAATACCTCAGCAAAATGTAGAGTTTGTCCACATCCAAGAAATATAATTAAACTGTCTAATATGGGCCAGAGAGCGTTAAAAATTCATTCAACTGGAAAGAAGCATTGTGAACGTTTGTCTCTTCACTTAAAAACGACATATATACCATTCATCAATGTGTCAAAAAATATACATGTTGTAACAACCACTTTGTCAGAAAACACAGTTCAAGTTTCCACTCTTCAGTCGTATGTTGTGTCAGATTTGGTTATTGATGCAGAGATCAGATGGACACTTAAAAATGTTTTATCATCATTTTCTTTTCGATCCAGTAATGGACTTTAATTTTGTTTAAATCAATGTTTCCTGACAGTGCTATAGCTGAAAAGTTTTCATTTTAAAAAGACAAGTGCTCATATTATACAGGGGCGTGCTGGCTCCTAAAAGCACATGCGAGATTATTTCAAAGAGGCCCATTTATGCGGGATTTTACCAAATATGCTTGATTTGAAGGCCCACATTTGTATATATATTTAATTGTATATATTTAAATATAAATATTATATATATATATATATATATATATATATATATATATATATAAAACTGACCTTATCCAGTTAAATCAACAAGTTTTATTTGGATTTCCTTAGAATTAAAAATGGCACCGTGTATCAGCAAGCACGTTTTATTGTGCTGCGGTAAGCACTTTTTATTTTTTCATTCCTAAAAATAAACAAGTTTCACCGCCTTTTTATGGTAACCAAATAGGATTTCTATTTTATTGTTTAAAAAACATAAGCGTTAAAATTTAAAAAGTATATATATTATATAAACTATATATATATATATATATATATATATATATATATATATATATATATATATATATATATATATATATATATATATATATATATATATATATATATATATATATATTTATATATCTATCTATATATAAATATATATATATATATATATATATATATATATGTATGTATGTATGTATGTATGTATGTATGTATGTATGTATGTATGTATGTATGTATGTATAAAACTGACCTTATCCAGTTAAAGCAACAAGTTTTGTTTGGATTTCCTTAGAATTAAAAATGGCACCGTGCTTCAGCAAGCACATTTTATTGTGCTGCGGTAAGCACTTTTTATTTTTTCATTCCTAAAAATAAACAATTTTCACCACCTTTTTATGGTAACCAAATAGGATTTCTATTTTATTGTTTAAAAAGCGTAAACGTTAAAATTTAAAAAGTATATATATTATATATACTATATATATTATATATATACTATATACTATATATACTATATATAATATATATACTATGTATAATATATATACTATATATACTATCTATGTATATATATATATATATATATATATATATATATATATATATATATATATATATATATATATATATATATATATATATATATATATATATATATATATATATATGTATATATATATATATATGTATGTATGTATGTGTGTATGTATGTATGTATGTATGTATGTATGTATGTATGTATGTATGTATGTATGTATGTATGTATGTAAGTTTGTATATATTTGTTATATATTTTTGTTTTAGCATTATTACGTAAGGGAAGGTTGTGTAAGATGAGCAGGTTTCTAAGATGATGTAACCTCTTTTACGGGTAGACTAATGATATTTTTGCTAACTTTTTTGGTTAAGGATATTCATACAAGTTTGACGGTGTTACTTATTTTAATTGCTTGGTTGTTTAGTTAATATTCTTTAATTGTTTTATGGTTAAAAAAATTTACCATCTCCATTATAATTTTTTATTATTCAATATTTTGTAATTACGTCAGAGCAAAAAAGACCATCAAAAATTTATTACATCCTCAATATTTTATACTTATCTACTACTAATTCCATGAGTTACATGAGATACTACATAAGCTGTTGTCATGCTGTTTAAGTTATGATAGTACTTGATGAAGATTAAGATGGTCAAGATGAGATACGGTTTTTTATTAAGAAAAGCGTGTTTTTTTAAAGTTATTCTCTGCTGAGTTATTTTCCGCTAAATTACATTTTACTTAAGTATAGTCCTTGAAGATACAATTTGATTTAATTTTTTTTTTTTGTGATTATATTTTTTTTTTTTTTTGAGTTTCCATTAAAAAAAGCTCATCTTAGGAAATTGGTTTCCTAAGATGAGCTTACGTTTTCTTAAACACAACCAATCATTTCCTAAGAGGAAATGATTGGTTGTGTTTAAGAAAACGTAATTTTTGTTATAAAGATTTTTTTTTAATTAATTGTTTATTTATATTCTTTAAAAGAAAAGATGAAATTATCATTATTCTTGAAAAAAATATATCTTTTTGTAACCTTTTAGGAGCAAAATACATTACACTGAAAACATGCTCAACTTACGCAACCTTCCCCTATACACGAATTATTGTATTTTATGTTTTATAAACAAAGTTTTCAAAAGAAACCTTTTTCTTTAAAATCAGTTAATTTTTTTATATTTGTTTTTGGTTTTGTTTGAATCGGCAATTTATCTAGTGAGTTTCCTAAGTAAAAAAGAATGCCGGCTATATTTTATTAATAAGGCTAAATAACTCTATCATTATTTAGTCTCATTACTAAAATATCTAGATATATATAAATATTTTAATAACTATTAATTTAAAGATTTATAGATGATGAATATTTTTAAATCTTTGTTCATGAAAAAAAATGTGTGCTATATGGAACGCCCTGAGCCGTAGAGAAGTGATTAAAAATTATTTATAAAGTACAAGAGGATGTGTTTATTAGCGTTACAAAACATTTTTTTTTTATGTACAACAATTTTTTTTTTTTACGTGCCCCAAGAAGTCCTTGCGGTCTTATCAACTTAAAGTTCAAATTAAATGTACACAATTTTTAAGATTTTCCATTATATGTCAAATCTTAAAAAAAAGAAGAAGGTATAATTACAACAAACACGGATTTTACAAGTATGTTCTTTGAAAAAAAACAGCAGTTATTAAAGTTTATAATGTTAAATATTAGTTTCAATGTATTTGCAGTCCCTGTAATGAATGAATCCGGAATACTTTCAAATAGAAATAAAATGCTTTATTTTTTTATTGGTATATATAGAAAAAATATTTACCTACTTTTTAAATAGCAGTAGTACATACAATAAGAGCAATTTTATAAAAGCTCACGCAAATTATTTTTAATTAAAAACATTAGGATTTTTATTTATGAAAAAACAATTAATCGTTCTCAATTGAAATTTTTTTCAATATAAATATTTTTCCATAATTTAAAATTGACCACATTTATTTCTCATAATAATCATTGGCTAACTTAGATAATTTTATCTATATAACGACTGATATAATAAGCGATTTAAGTGGCGTAACGAATAGTTATTTTTTCCAATATTGACTTTGTTTTTAGGCAAAAGTTGAATGAACGGCTGCATTTTATTATGCTACAAACGAATGGCTGAATTTTATTATGCAACAAACGGCTGCATTTTATTATGCAACGAATGAACGAATGGCTACATTTTATTATGCAAAATAAAAATATATATATGCACTTGAAGTCCAACAGTTCGAATCAGAGATTTGTTAAAGAATTTAACTTGTGGAATAAAAATAAAGCAAATAAATATCATTTGTGAATCATTTTCAGAATGTAGAAAAGGGTATATAAATTATTATACTATTGTTCGACTATGACCAATAGTTAAATTATTAACTATTGGTCATAGTCGAAGTAGAGATCTTCTGCATAATTTTTTGTTGGATTTGAAATCTTTGAATAAAACCAAACTTATTCAAGCCTTTCAAACTTATTCAAGTTCTTTATTCTATGGATGCCAAAATTTCTATGGATGCCAAAATTGAGCCTTTTACTCTGAGTTACAAAACTATCGTTCTGAAAATGAAATTAACAAACTAATCTTGTGGTTTCCATTCGATTCATCTATCATTCAAAACTGGGGAAAACAAAATGGACTGGGGTATTAAAAAGATTTTAAAAGCTCTTTATAAGCTACCCAATTGTTTTATCTGCTACTAAGGATCCTCTAATTCTAGAAAGATTTTATTTCTTTGCTCATATAGCTCATATTGTGCAATGCTTTTTAACCATTTATCAATATACTAAACCTATGATTCCATGATGACCTTTATCGACTATTGACCTTTATCCACTATATAAAGTTGGTGGTTTAAATGATTATCCAGCACTGTCCAAATTAATTAAAATGATGTTAACTCTTTTACATGGTCAATCAGCGGTTGAAAAAGGGTTTAACATTAACAAGAATATGTTACAACCTAATTTAATGAGTAAATCATTAATAAACCAGAGAATTGTGTATGGCTATATGAAAGCTCTTGACTTAAACCCGAAATCTATAGGTATCTCCAAGGAACTGAGAGAATCTGTCAAAAAATCACGGAGTCAACAAAAGATTGAAATGGCTGCTCAAAAAGAGTTTTTTTTTTAACTGAGTTTACAGATGCTCGAAAGCAAAAAAATGACTTACTTGCTATAGACATAAAGGACTTACAATCTGTAAAGGTTATTTTGGAAAAAGTAAAAAAAAAAACACTAAATTAAAAAGTTTTAGTACAAAAAGATTATATTTTTAGCAAATATTTTTGCTATATTTTATTTTCTACTTTTTAGTTTTTACAGAGAGTTACAATACTTAGCAATGCGTTTATCTAGACATGTGTAATTAAGTCGAGCTTTTTATCCTAAAGAAACGTAGTATTTGCTGATTAAAGAAGTGGAATATTTTACTTTTAAAAGTTAAAATATTTTTATATAAAAGTAAAATAACATAAAGTACAAATATTACATTTGCATTGCAACCCGTGTCCCACAGATGTAGTATATTTTTATATTAATATTAAACAAAGTTAACATAACTTTGTAAGTTACTTTTTTATTTTTATTTAAAAAAATTTATTTTCAAAAAAAAAAGTATTAAAAAAAAGATTTAAAAAGAAATACAAACCCACAAGCAATCTTAGCCGATTTTAAAAATAAAAAAAATTATTTTTTTAAAAGAACAAAGTAAATTTAAAAAATATTACAAACCTACAAGCAATATTAGTCTATTTTAAAAATGAAAAGATTTATTAATTAATAATTACAACTATTATAATAAAACCGGCAAGCAATTTAGTAGCCAATTTCTATATAAAATGTTTATTTTTTAGAGCGTCATGGACGACAAAAAAAAGTTAAGGAAAAAAATTATATAAGTGAAAGAAAAGATTAAAAAACATTAAATTTTTTAGCAAATGATATTGCTATATTTTATTTTCTTCTTTTTAGTCTTTACTGAAAGTCACTATATTTAGCAATGTCAAGACATTTGAAATTAAATCAAGCTTTTTATCCTTATTAAAGAAACAGAGTATTTCCTAATTAAAGGGGATGACTGAATAAGTGCGAACTGGCATGAGTGCAAATGGTATAAGTATGAACTGGCATATATGTGAATTGGCATAAGTGGAAATTAGCATAAATTGCAAGGCAGTTACAAAAACTGGCACAAGAACCAACTGGCATAAGTGCGAATTGGCATAAGTGAGCCAAAAGAATTTGCAAACATTGGCATAAGTGCGAAATGTGATAAGTGCAAACTTGCATAAGTGCACTGAATAAAATTGCAAATATTGGCATAACGCAACTTATTATACTTTGCACTTTGCACTTGTGCCAGTTTTTGCAATGCCTCGTATTTATGTTAGTTTGCAATTATGCCAGTTCACGCTTATTAAGCCTCCCGGATTAAAGGAGCTGAATATATTTTTTTTAAGGTTGAAAATTTTTTATATATAAGTAAAATAACATACAATTACAGCACAAATATATCATTTGCATTGCCACCCTCGTCCTCCCACATATGTAATATATTTTCATATTAATATTAGACAAAATTATGTTATATTTTTCAAGTTTATTAAAAAAATTTTTTTTTTAAAAGTAAGTATTAAAAAAAGATTTAAAAAAAAGGATACAAACCCACAAGCGCTTAGAAGCAATTTTCTATGTAAAAGGTTAATTTTTAAGTGTCCCGTGGACAACAAAGAAAGTTGAGGAAGAGTTCATATTAAGTGAAAGAAAAGATTATAAAAAGAAGAAAAAAGTGATTTAAAAATTAAATGAAACAATTGATTTATTATTTAAGAAAATTAAAGAACTTTGAAATTATAAATATAAGTTTATTATTATTTATATACAGTAAAATCTAAATTTATGTAGATATTTAAAAGATTTATTTTTGAAAAGATTTTTAATATTTATGTGGCGATACTTTTCAGTCTTTTTAACAAAGAATAAAAATTTTGTTTAAACTTTTATCATTCTTTCAGTATTATTTTTTCTGAACCATTTGATGTATGTCTGTTTTTCATCTTTTAAATATATGTTGGTTTTAACTTTATATTTTACTTTTACATTACTTGAGTAATTCAGTTTATTTTGTAATGCTATTTATCAAAAAAGTTTATAAAGTCAATAAAAACATAGCATTTTTACACTTTACTTTGATTAAATTTTAATAACAATAGTAACAATGATAACATACTAACAATACTTTGCCTTTTTTTCTCCATACTTTTTGAGGACCATCTGACTTCACAAGATTAAATTTTGACTGGTCCGTCCACAAAACTTTCCTCCAGAATGATACTGACATAATTACATATTTTTTAGCTAATATGAGTCTTCATTTTTGATGGATTTTTGAAAGGAATCATTTCTTGCGTGAAACTCTTGTTTTGAATCCACTTTCGTTTAATTGATTTCAAATAGTACATGAGCTCACTTGTAACCCAAAATCTTTCTTAAGGAGGCTTGACACTTGGTGCTGATAAAAAACGGTTTTTTTGCACCATCTTGACAACTTGTTCATCTTTTCTCTGTGTTGTTTTACGCTTAGGTCTGGATCTTGGCTGATTTTGCCCGTATCCAAACATATTATACTTTTTAATCATATCGCTGATGGTTCCTAATGCCATTGCAGTCACTTCATTTATTGACCTAAATGTTTTACCTTGCTTATACAAGTCAATAACCAAATTGTGCTGACCTTGGGACCATTCTTTGATTTTAACTCCCATACTTGATGATATCAATGGTAAATTCAATGAATTTAAAAAATATCAGTCAATTATTAAAAATTACTCATTGTAAAACAATATTTCTAAAACTATTGATTTAAAAACTTTTTTTACAAAACAACATGTTATTATTATTTTTCATTGAAGTTTACAAAACAACATGTTATTATTATTTTTCATTGAAGTTTACAAAACAACATGTTTAATTATTTTTCATTGAAGTTTTAATACTCCTTTGTGAATCATTAAATTTTAGCAACGCAAGTTAATTATCGTTGATTAATTTTTTGCTATATAAAATCATGATTAAATTTGCATTGAGAATAATTATAAAAAAAAGTTTTTCTGAAATAACCTGGCAAAGTTTATTTTTCACAATAAAATATTTTGTTCGGATACTTATTTCTCTGACTGTATTTAAGATATGAACACAACTTGTTTTTGAATTCCTATGAGTCGAATTACTTCATGGCTCCAATTAATAAATACTTAAAGTTACCATCCTTCTATTTTAATTTACTTGCATCGACACAAAAGAAATTTACACCTATTAAAAGAATTTTACAATAAAATTTTACTTATGTTAAGTTATTTTAAAAAGTTCTATTATACTGTATAATTTAGAGTAAAATTCTATTATACTGTATAATTTAGAACAATTGATGTAGTTTTTTAAGAAAATTTGTGTGTACTTTATTTAGGAAAATACAATAGTAACACAACCTTATCAAAATCCAATATATGAAGTAAGTTTTAATTATTTAATAAGTTTATATTTTGAACAAATATATTCTTATAATAATATGCTTATATTGTTTATAATGACAAATGTTAATAACAATTATTTATGAAGGTTTGATTTATAAATAAATATATCATTTAAATATATTATTGTAAATATGTTTTGTGAGTAGGTAGTTTCAAATCAATCAATTTTTCAACAAATGAAATGAAAAATAAATTTTTTTAGATTTTTGTACCATCAAAAGAGATAATAAAAAATATATTATTTAACAAAGGTTCTAACAAGGACAAAAACAAGCAATTTGCACTGCAGCTTAAATCTTTATGCAACACTGTTAATGCCTTATTTTGTTAATTCCGTACTTTCTAGCATCTTCTTTTAACTTACATATTTGTTGCTATCTAATCTGTTGTTTAGTATTTGTTATATTTTTGATATTTATTTTTTAGTTTATTAAATTTCTTATGAAATAACTCATCTTTCCTTTTGCTTTTTTTTTTTTTTGCTACGGTTTTTCTTGTTTATAGAGTACTCCTAAGCATTTTTACGTTATATTACATCTCAAAATGGTGACAATTGGTAACAAATTTTAACTTAGAATTAGAAGAAGTTACACATTTTTACTTAGAATAATATTGTATAACAATTTTTATGTTGCATTACATTTTATTTGGTTACACTTTTATAATACACAATATTGTATGACAATTTTTATGTTGCATTACATTTAAATTAATAACTCTTTTAAAATCATATGAATTCAAAAATATTGAATGCATTTAGTATTTATAAGTAATCTTTAAAACTATGACCTTTCTCATGAAAGATTGGTTTGAGTAATTAATAAGAGACAGCATTTATAAATGTGTTAATTTGAAAAGCATTGGAGTCAAGGCAGAAGCCAGACTGATAGGCATACCTAGTCTGTCTCTAAAAAAGAATGCTGTACCATCACATGCACCTGTCTGACAATGATTATGTGTTGAATCGCATTTCTTTTACCAAAGATAGTTATTAGACTGTTATTATAAATTCTATTATTTAATTTCTTTGTTGTATTTGGCTTGTTTGTATTAAATTTGCTTAATATTGACACAGCAAAATTGTAATTTTTCTTTTTATTTTTAATATCGTTTTTATTCAACATATTATGTTTTGATTTTATATAATTTTTGAACAAACAAATTTAGAAGTATTTCTAGCCTATAGTTTTTTAATTATAGGCTCTTTCTTGATCGACATCAATAAATAACTAGTCAGGTTTAACATTAAATTTAACATTTAAATACACTTTTTGTTTTGTATGAAATTTTATAAAAGGTTATATTTTGACAAGTATTTTTTAATTTGCACAAGAATGGATCAAAGGTCAATAAATGCATTTTTTCAAAAAAATTTTGCTAACTTGTTGTTAACGCTCTTAAGGAAAGTTATTTCAAAGTTTACAAAATGGTGTTTTTTAAGTCCTCTATTAGTGCTAGTAAAAAAGTATTACTATATAAGCAAGAAAGATATGCTTCTCTACACATCAGAAAGACCTGACAAAAAAAAAGAAGGCTAAAGCTCATTTGTGGACATTGTGTTGACAAAATCATATAAAACATAAGAATTTGTATATATAATAAATTATACAAATTCGCTCTCGAGTAATGTTAACAATATTATATATACAAAAAACTCATATACTAAAATATTATATACTAAAAACTCATATTCTAAAATGTGAGTAACTATAATTGAAAAAATTAACTGATTAAATTTTTTTTTTTTTTTTTTTTTATTATACTTCACCTCCTCAAGGCCGAGAAGGCCACTACAGACGAGGAGGCTACTTATTTTGTGGCTATAACCCTCTCTCAACTCTATAAATCCGAAACACGAACCTTGACGAACAAGGCCGCTGCGCAGAGAAACGAGTTGAGCGCGGTACTACCAGGGACGTGGTGGGGATCGAACTCGGAACCACTCGTTTATGAAGCGAGCGCTCTACCACTACACCACTACCGCATTAATAAAATGGTTGATTTAACTTCTAAAGACTAAATTAATTGGCTGGAATCAAATTTTTTGGTGGTATTAATACTTCCATCCAACCCAACTTGAATGTTGTGATTATGGCGTTTTTGTAAATTTTGAAAATGTTTTATGAAACCTGAATGGTGAAAACAAATGACTTTAATTTGTAGATACCAAACAGCACCTTATTATTGTTATGATTTCTGCAAATGTTATGGCAAATTTCCACTCAACTTTGTATTCAAATGCTGAACTTGTGAAGAGTTGCCTTCAGTTTAAAGATTGGAAGGGCCCCAGACTGAGAAAGGAGCCTGGGCTGAAGAAGTCTAGTTTTATTTTACCATTAGGTTTAGCAATCAATTATTTGTAACTCACTTATAAATGGCATGTAAATGATTTACATCTACCCCTAACCATATATTGGAGTAAATCTATTCCAAAAAAAACAGCACAAAATTTAATGTTTAAAAATATAAATATAAACTGGGTTAACAATATTGAATCACTTGAATCAGTGAGTTCAGAAACAACTTCAGTCACAAATTTTAAACTTTTTAGAAGATAGAAAAAATATCATAACTTCTCTAAAATCGTAAATATTTGAACTTTCAAATATTTAAAATATATTCAAATATTTAAACTTTAAAGTATTATAAAAAAGTTCAAATATTTGAACTTTTAAATATTTAAAAAAATTTCAAATAATTTGCGAAAACATTTTTTTACCCTCTGTTGTGACACGCATTTATGTTACTGTCATGCTTTGTTCAGACTCATGTTGTTTCTACACTTTACTAGTTTTTACAGAAAGCTAAAAACTTGGAGGAAAAAAAAAAAGGTAACTCATGAATTTTCATTAAACAGCAGTCATTAAAAGTTCATATTTTTATTTATATTATATCAAAAATGATGTTATAGCATTGCAAAGTCATCATAAAACAGGAGTATAAGAAAGTAAAACGTTCTTAAAATAGATTCTTTTTGAGCATTTTATCATTGTCATGTGCATTGGTTGTTGCCAGGTTAGTTAGTTCATCTTTAAAAACTTAAAAGTTTTTTAGAATATGAATAATTATCTTGATTTCTTCCATTTTCTTTATGTTGAATAAAATTTTCCCTAATGGCTGCAGTACTTATAGGAAAATCAATATCTACATTTCAGGAGCTAATAGTTGTGGTTTTGTAATCTTTCAATGAAAGTGTATGCTGTGATTACCCTTTAAAGTTATAACAAAACTCTCTATATTGAGTGAGAGCAATTTTGCTTCTTTTACCACATTTCTTCCTCAACATTCTCTTGCTTAAGGGTTTTTTGTATATTTTTTCTTGCACCAACTATCAATATTATTTATGTTAATGGTAAGTAGCTTGGTGTACTTACCACTGATATAAACTTGTAGCTTAGATACTATGTAAGTGTTATTGAACTGAATGCACAACTCTGTTTAATTATCATCCTCGCCATTGTACTGAAATCTTGATCATTTGAAAGATATGAATGCCCTTAAACCAGAAAGTATCTTATTACAGTGTGATTCTCATTCTGTTCGCAGGTGCCATCAGGCAAAAGATTTTTTGCATTTGATGGAATATTAGTTCAATGTATGCTGCATGCTACATATATCATTGGCTTGTTTATGGGCTACTCCTTCATAGGACATAAAAATTTCAGAATTACCTGTTTTTAGGTTTTTTTTTATCCCAAAACAGTTCACCCAAAATTGCCTAAAAGTAAAAAATATTCTGAACTGGGATTGCTAGAAGAGAGAGATTTTGCATGAAATTAAAGGAAAGTATGATTGTGTCTTCACATTCCACACATAACCTGGTGGCCCTTTAAATTACATTTTAAATTTCTTGGCTCTTCTTTTGTAATAAATAAGTTCAGAAGAGCATCTTATTATGCTGAATCACCAGTAGAGGAGCTTACCCTTTTAAATCAAGTTCTTCACATTTTATATCTACCTATTTATCCAAACTGTCATGAAAAGTTTTTATGAAAATAAGGTAAAACTTGCATTTTAAATCCAAATCTTTCTTGTGGGTTATATTTTAAACAAGGAAAATTTTTTTTTTACATTAGGAATATTGAAATGATATCTTTAATGCCATAATAGGTAGTTTAGGTGTGGAATGATGAAACATCATTCGATGTTTTTCGATGTTAGTCTAATATAATTAAATCTACAACCTTGTGGTGAGACTTTTAAGTTACAAATCTAAAGCATTGTTAGTATTTTTTAAACATCTTTACTTCCAACATGGCTGCAAACAATCACTATTAGAGATGTAAGTTACTGGAAGAGTACAAGGTCAAGGGAGCCAAAGAACTAATGTTTATTTTTTTGTTCATATTTTTTTGTTTTTAACACTTTTAAATGTTGTTAAATGTAACAATTGTTTTTAGTAATAATGGTAGTTGGTAATAAAACTATAAATGATAACGGAATATAGATAATATAATATTAGAAAAAAATAGAAATAATATAAATCTGCATAACTAAAATAGCAATCTTACTAAAGATAATAAATTTCCATAATTTACATATATGTAAATCACATATATGTAAAAAGAAGGAAAAAATTCTATCTGTTTACTAGGAACCATAAGCTTGCATAACAATGGAAAATATGCTGTCAGAAAAATAGTTTTTATTATTTAAATGAGTGATTTCTTACAGTTGTTGTTTTTATTTATTTTACTTAAACATTTTAGTATTTTAAATTGATGTTTTTTGTTTTATATAATAAATTTTGTGTTTTTAGAATTTTTTTATCCAAAATGGTTATTTAAACACAACATGCTATTATAATTCTGGAAATGATGATAGTTTTGAACATGATAAATCAGTATGCTTCAGCCAAGCAGTTAAAGATTTTCAGACGTATGAGATATTTGCTTTTGATTTAATTTTTTTTTTCAATTTTTAAATGTTTTGCAGTTAAAACAGCAAACTTTCTAAAGATTTATCTTATGGTTTATTATCTGGTTTCAGTTTTAAAAAACCCAGAACTGGTTATACAAGGTCAAACCTTGTTTTAAAATGTAAAATAACAATTACATTTGATATTAGCACTATTTAAAAATGTAAGGAGTTAAAAAAAAATAAAGATGATTTTTTTTTATTAACCTAACTTTTCCATAAAAAATGTTCAGCAAAAAAAAAGAAAAATAAGATGTTATATGATTAAAAAGATATTAAAAGATGCGTAAAAAAAGAAAACTTAAAAGAAATATATTAAAAAAACTTTTTATTATTATTGCAAGTGCAAGAATATTTATTTAGACAATTTCTCCTAACAAACAACAATAAAAATAATTACGGAATTTTTAAAAAATAAAAAATAAAACAAATTATTAGCTCAAAAATGGTACACTTTAAATTTTATTTTATATTAGCGCCGCTTATGATATTTTAATTATAGCAATAGGAATTTCTTCGTTATTTATAAGTTTTATTTTGCGAAAAAATATTGAAAAAAAAATTAACAATTTTAACTTATTTATACAAATGTTGAGAAAATAAAGAAATTAATTTATGTTAAACAATAATAAAAAAATATCAAAAGTATTAAATTTAATTAATGTTAAAAATAAGTAAAATTAAAAACGAATTTTTATAACCCAATACTTTTATATATTATTAAAACACAAATTTTGCAATAAATTTTTTCTGATATTACTATTTTATTTTATTAACATTTGGCTGTATACGTGTGTAAAAAATATTTGGCTGTATACGTGTGTGTATATGTGTGTAAAAAAACAACAAAAATTCAGGAAGAGGGAAGTTTTGAACCACGGCCATATCATTTACAAAGTCAACACTTTATCCAAATAAGCTAAACTAATTAAATGCATCAATGCATTAATTGTTGAAAACATTTAGAATTAATTATTTAACACATTTGCTATACATTGAGGACTGTACAATTGTTTTTATTTCTAAAAGAATTTCTACGTGAATTTTTTCTTTAGCCATACATATAAATACAAAGGTTTTGAATTATATTTATTTTTGGCTCATATTTATAAACAGCCATTTTGACTTTTTGTATTTTAATTTACTTTGTTAGTATAAATCTCTATAAAACCTTTTCCAACAGAAAGTTATTGCAAGAGTAAATACTCTTGTAATAACTTTACATTGTAAATTTATAGTTATTTGATTGATCTTTTAACTACACTAGCCCAAGATACAGAGGTAAATGGTGTAGTTTTAGCTTTTTCTTTAAAACATCTAGTATTTTGGTTAGCATTAGCAATTTTTTAACTCATTAATTGTTTTGTTGAGTCACTTTATTAATCTATCTTTATGAGTGACTTTATTAATTTATCTTGATCAACTTTATAAATGCTAAATTTGGTTGATTGAACATTGTACCATGTTTATTATAAATACAATGTTTATTATAAATATTTTGATATAATTTAAATATATATTTAAATTATATATTATCAATTAATTCAATTTATAGTGCAAGCAATCATCTTTTTCTCTTAGATCTTTTTTTAAAACTCTAAAAGTTGTTGAAGATTCAGGTCAAATTTTTTGGAAGGTTACTATAAATACTTTTAATCTGTCTGGTAACATTAGTAAACAATCTTTGATGATGCCAAAATCAAGTGTTGTTTTGTTGTTATTGTAGAAACAGCATCAAAACACAATTGAATTCTCAAATCTAATAATTAAATCATTTTAAATACTAACTTTTAAATAATAACGGGTGATACATAAGTTATTGGACAAAATAAAAACGTCAATAACTTATTTATAAATGAAGCAAAAACTATTATTTATTTTCTTTAAATAAAGTATTTATCTTTTAATAAAAACAAGTAATTTTTTAAATGAAAATACGCAACCATCTCCAATTGATCTCAATTTTGCTCTGATGACTTTCATTAAAAATTTAAATCGGTTTCTTGTAGTTTTAATTTATTTGGATCAATCAAAACTTGCTCTGTTGAAGCTTGGCTATCTCCTTCGTAAACCTTCTGTGCCAAATGTCTCCAAAAGTTTTTAATTGGTCATGCTTCAGGCACATTAGGGGGATTAGATTCTTTATCAACGTAATAGACATATTGGTCGAATATGTCTATTACTATTGATCACAATTTAGAGAATCTTTAGAATAATGAGATCTTGTTAGATTTTTGCCAAAATTAATAGTTAAAGTCTCCATGATACTTGTGAATGAATGTAAAAAGTTGTTTTTCTAAACATTCATCATTAGGGATAGCACTTTTACTTAATTTGATGTAAAAGCACAAATTACTTTTAAATGTAAATTACTTTACCTAACTCATATAAAAATATATTATTTACTTACATTTAAAAGTAATTTTTTTTTTTTTTTTACATAAATGATATAACAAGTAAAACTTAATTACTTAGGTTAAGTTTTTTAAATGAGTAACTGTTACTTGAAAAAGCAATTTACTTTTACAAGTAAAAGTTGTTTGCATTTTTACTTTTACTTGTAAAAGTAACTTACTTTTAATGGTAAGTCGTGTAAATGGTAAGTTGTGTAAAAAAAATTATTTATGAAGTAAACTAACCTAAATATAATATTTAAAAAACATAACACTTATTTTACAAAGTAAAATAAAATTACATCATAACAACAAATTACTTTTAAATAGCTTAAAAGTAATTTTTAAAAAAATTGTTATTTACAATTATAAATTTTTGTTTTTAAGTTTTATACTTTACTTTGTAAGTAAGTAAAATGTAAGTTATATTATTTACTTTCTCAAAAAATAGTAATTTCATGTTGATTTTAAATAAATTTTGAGATAGGTAGCATATTCAAATCCATTGCCTGTTTGAGGGCACTTCTGGATAATACTTGAGGTAATACTCTGATGTATGTGGGCAGTGTTTTTGGTGGGGCATTGGGAAAAGACTTTTTTTTCACAAATATCATAAAGGGTTGTTCTATTAAAAGTAGGGGCAAATATAGTTTAACATGTAGGTATACCAGTAGTGTAAAGACAGGCTCCCTGCCACATGAGTGCTAATAGGGGCTGCTAACTAATCAATGATTTTTTATTTCTTTTTAGTGGCCTAGTGGCTTAGTGGTCATAATGAAAATTTGGAGGGGTGGGGCAATGTGCATAATTTCAAAGCTGAATTCTAAATGGGTAATTTATGCATGGGTAAACCTTGACCAAGTCACTGTTCGTTAGAGCACGCTTTTTCTCCAGTTTTTTTTCTTTGTATTCGCCTTTTCAATCAAGTATTTTGCTATTGTAATATGACACAATATAACATTTTTGGTATCCGCAAGGACATTGACTGCTAAAATAGTTTTCAAAAAATGATAAGTCATTTAAACTATCTGATATAATTTATATGATTAAAGGAGTGTTTATCAGATATAATCTTTTATCATATAAAATCTATTTGAAAAAAGGTGGTAAAGAAAGCTGTTCAATCTTCTACTATAGGTTGTGGGCACCCTAATAACTTTCTTTTTGTTATGTTGGTGTCCAACCCACACAAGGATGATTAAAAAAATAAAGTCTTATTCAATTAAAATGATGTTTCAGAATAAACTTGTAATTTTTTCAAACGTTAGTTTGACTTCACAAGATATTTGTTGGCTATCAGTTGTTCCTTCCAGACTAGCTAAAGCTCTGAAACTTCCAGCATTTGTGTAAATTTAATAAAAGTACATTTTAAAATTGTTTTCAGAGCCAACTGGAAAACTCCACTTTTTTGAATCTCTTTTTTTTTATTTTACTTTATCTTTCAGACTTTACGAGGTCCCGATGAAGATGCATGTTAAAGTTGTTTCCTGGGCAAGGGGGGTTGTACCCTTATTTTTTTTCTCTAATATTTTGTTTTTCTTTAAAGTTGGGGTTTATAACTTTTTAGAAAGATAGATTTTTTGCAAAAAAGGTTTGAAAAGGCATTTAAATGCGTTTTCAAAGCTTTTTTTCAAAAGTTAATTCTAAAACAAATAATTTTTTTATTTGTTTTTAGTATTAACTTTTGAAAAAAAAATGTTTTTAGTATTTAAAATTTTTTTTTTTTGATTTATTTGTTTTAGTATTAATTTTTTTTTCCGGGAGCAAATAGGTTTGTGGCCCTGATAAAAGTTTACTGTAAAGGAGCTGGACGTATTTTTAGCTATGTTGTCAGGGCTTTCCTGAAGAGGTCTATCATGGAAGGTAGGGAGGGGGGGTGTTGAATGTGTTTTTTGCCAATTAGAGAGAGACACACACAAAAAAGAAGGTTTTCAATATTTGACATTTGTTAACTATACTTCAAAACTTGCCAACTGAAGTGCTAAATGTACAAATGTTCTAACTCAAATGCATATATAATAGCTTAAAGAAAGGGGGGGGGGGGAACCCAGGTCAGCCCTGGTCGTAATAATCACTCCAAAAGAAATAAAAATTAATTTTTCTTTTGTTTATTTATTATTAGCTGTTAATGTCTGGAATTAACTAATTTCAATTAATCTATTCCAGACAACAATTATTCCAGTAAATCATTTCAAGAAATAACTTTCATTTTGATTTGAGACTTGTTGTTATTTCATCATATAGATGAAATAACAACAAGTTTTTTTTTTCAATAAATTTTTTTTACTTTTTTTTACTTTAAACTTTCAAAAATCAAAAGTTAAAAAGTTAACAAAAGAGTAAAGCATAATATTTAAACAACCAGATTCCAATCACATATTTAAAATCAGACCCATAGCAAGCTTTTTTTTTGTTTTTGATTGAGAATTTATCTTTATGTAACCAAAAATATTTTTTTGCAAACCTTATCCAAATATTTATATATGTTTATGTAAAGCTTTTCAAAAGCTTTTAATCGGAGTCTATTTCAAATTTAATTTGGCCATTGATTATTGTTTTTTTTATTAC